CTACTTAAATTAAACAATAACTAAAGTTGTACAAGTAACTAGTTGTATATTCTCTTCATAGTTGCCACTTGTGGTTGTAATACAATCATTAGCCAAATATACTATCAATAAAATTCTAGATCACAAGTACTCACCTTAATATTTAAAAAAAAAAAAACAATGCTTAATGCAGATATTATCCAAATTTATAATCTTTAAATTTAATTCTAGCCAAAGTATGTTTATAAATCTGTCTAATGCATAACAATTATATTATAATATACAGTAATTTATGAAAGTAAATTAAAATTAGATGAGAGAACATATAATCAAGTAATTAATAATAAATAATATAAAAGTAAAATCATTATAATAAAAAAGTTAGTTTTTTAAAAAAAAAAAAAAAAATCAGACATTGACATACATATGTACATAATTATAGTATAAGTTTAAGTAATTTGCATATATACATATATGTGCACTAGTGTTATTTAGTTAACATAATGTTGCACAAAAGTAGACACAGTAAAAATTATATAATTTTACATCATATTGATATATATATTCTCTAATTGCATATTAATTTGTTAGTTGAGTGTAGTATTTAAAAAATTGCATATATATTAAATTTGTTAATTGAGCACAGTATTTAAAAAATTATTAAACAATTGTTTTTTTTTTTAATATTAATGCTTATAGTTGCTGTTCAAACTATTTGAGATGACCTAAACTATGTGATAAGTAGCATCATATATGGTTTTAACCTAGTCTTAACCTAGTTTTAACTATATATAATACTAATCATCACATAGTTTAAGCCATTTCAAATGGTTTGAATAGCAACTATACTAATGCTAAATCATATATATTACATATATTGCATGTATAATTTATAAATTCTTATCATATAAATTAGTAAAGACATAGATTACATGAAAATTAAATTATTAACTATTGTTCATTAAAATAAAAATAGACAAACAATTGTCTATTTGATTGTTCTTTTTATATAATGAATACCCTTTTGACTCTAATTCTATTTTATAACAAATAAACTTGTGCATTTTGTTGTCACAGATTTTAAGGTCTGAGTTTTTTTTACCAATATAAGAACCTTGATATTGCATAAGTTGTAATATAGACTATATATAAAAGAGTCTAAAAAATATATATATATATAAAAAGTGAATTTCATTTTATTGTACTTGTACTTTATTTGTAATGCTCATATAATCAAGAATAAGAAAGTTGCAACAAAAAAGAGCAGAAATAGTTTGTTCTGTATTTGTGTCTTATTTTCTTATCAATATAGATTTAAGTGAAGAATATGTTTATTCTAATAATAAAAGTTCAGATGACAATTTTATAGAATTTGATAATACTGATGATATGAATTTAATAATTGAATAACTTTATTTAGCTTTAATAGTGAGTTTTAAAAAAAAAAACTTCTGTTACCTATATTAGAAATTCTAAACATACTCAGCAAAGAAGGAATAAGGCATTTAGAGAAGTGACTATAAGAAGTTTGAAAATTACACAATTTTTTTTTAATACTTAACTACAAGCAGCTAATAATGATGAGAATAATCAGATAGGAAGGCTATTTCAAAAAAAAAATCAAAATTTGATATAAGATTAATGATATTAATAATTAATAAGATAGTGATGAAGAATCAGATAAAGAACCAGACAAAGAACCAGGCAAAGAACCAGACAAAGAGTCAGATAATGAATCAGATAAAGAAATAGATGAAAAAAAATTCACAATGCAATTGAATTTGTAGATAGTATAATGAATAATGAAGCACTCTCAAAAACTAAGAAGGCTTATTATTTGGTTGTTCTTTATTTTTGTTAGTTGCTTTTGCAAGATCAAAAGAAAATAAAGGCATCAGAAATTGTTACAAACATTGTTAATAATAGGTTATAGCTTGCATGATGTGTAAGAAAATGGGCAAACACTTGTATAAAAAATAAGTTAATCTAATCAGATCTTTGAAGAAGATTTTCTTCAAAAAGTCTGCTTTATAACAAGTTTGTTTTTCTTCAATTATTCTTTTATCTTTGCTCTCAAAAATTTAAAGTAAACCCTATTATAGTTAAAAATTACTTTGAATAGCAAGTTTTTCTCCAGTTGAATCTTAAATCTGTGCAATGCATTTCAGTTAGAACTACATGTAGGTAGATGCACAAACTTGGTTTCTGTTTCCAATGTTATCAAAAAGGTGTATACATAGACAGATATAAACACTCTAATATTGTCAAATATCATCAAAGGTTTCTCCAGTAAGTTGCTCAGCTTGAACAATTTATATTCAAATAGGTTGACCCAGATTGCAAAATAAGAACCTTTTCTAATTTAAATAGTAGTGAAAAGGAGCATATATAAATAACACATGATGAAACTACTTTTTATATTTATAATAGACTGCATTCTGTATGAAGTCCAAAGAGAAAACAGCTATTGTGAAAAAAAAGATTAGGTTCTGCTATGCATATAAGTGATTTTTAGCTGAAACTATAGAATCACTTAGAGATAGCCAAGAAGAAGCATATGTAATGATGATCTGAGACTGTTTGTAAATTTATTTTTTAAATAAATAAAACTTAATTTTTTTAACCAGAATTTTTAGATTTTGGGTGCTAATTGGAATGGTTATTGGGATTCTAAAAAACTTCTCAAACAAGCAAGACAGGCAATTAACATATTTAAGTAAACACATTTAGGATGTATAAATATATTTGCTTTTGACAATACTACATTTTATAAAGCATTATCTAAGAATGCTCTTGTGGTTTCAAAAATAAATCTTGGTTCAGATGGTTTAGTTCCAAAAATGCAAAAAACAATATGAAGTAGTGGTCATTAATCAATAATTATTAAAGATAATTATTTTATTAATGACAAAAAAAAAATCATGTAAATTTGTGTAGGCAGCCTAAAGAAATTCATTAGGTTCTTGGCAAAAGAGGATTATGATAGGATGATATAGTGCTTAAGTATCTTTCTTGTAAAAAAAAAAAAAACAAATTCAGATATTATTGATTGTTGTGCATGCTAGTTAATGGCTAATCAACCTGACTTTCTTAAACAATGCAATCAGATTTAACAAGAAATCAAATATTGTAGGCATAAGGTTATATTTTATTCTAAGTTTTATCCTGAACTCAACTATATTAAAATGTACTAGAGAATAGCTAAGAAGTATACCTAAGCTAACTGTAAATATTTATTTCCAAAGATTAGAGAATTGATTATTCAGGCTTTTAACATCATTTCTGTAAAACAAATTCACTTTTTTGCTAAGCTTTCATATAGATGAATAGATGCTTACTGGCATAGGTTAACTGGAAAAGCAACAGAATATGCTATCAAAAAGAATAGAAAACATAGAATGATTAGTAAAGAAGTCATGAATCAAATTAATAAATTTTTAAATTAAAAAAATAAGGTTTACTTATCTGTTCAGAGGTTTCATAATTGTGAAGTTTTATTTTTTTTTTTTTTTTAAAAAAAAAATATCTAGATTTATTTTTTTTTTTAAAAAAAAAACTGTTCTAGCATCTTTACAATGTGAAGTTTTATTTTTTTAAAAAAAAATATCTGTTCTGGCATTTTCATAATCATAGAGTTTTGTTTTTTTTTAAAAAAAAAATTTAATATTAAACAATAATATTTAAGTGATATAATTGATTAAAACTTTGTCTTATTTTAATAAAAGAACAATTGAATCTTTTAGTAAATCAAAGCTTAATTTAAAGGTTAAAATACTTATTATATAATGTAAAATAGTAATGTTCTGGTGCCATAATATTGAACAATGAATATAATAGAATTTTTAAATAATTAAATTTAGATTGTAAATATATAGTGATAGTTATGTTTAAGATTTTAGATCTGAATTGTGTTAAAACAGTACATAATACTCTATCTGAAGTTTTGTTTAATTATGATTTTAGACAAAATTTTAAAGTGACCAGAAATTTATAAATATACTTTAAGTTTAACCTATTATATTAATTTGCTAGCTATTCAAAAAAGCTATTCTTGACCTATTATTAGAATTCAATTGGCTAAATAGTAATCAATAAAGATGTGCAATATATTAGCTAACTTTGATAAATCATAAAAACACTTCAAATATTTGCAGTGGTGCAATAAATAGCTGGCAAATAAATATAGTAAGTTACATCCTGAATATAATGTAAATTTTTCATTTTCCAAAAAAATAGATTACAATATGTTAAAACTTTATACCTTATAATATGTATAAAATCATCCAAATTTCTATTATTTTAACTAATTATGTATAATTAATTCGTATTATAATTAACCAATCACAACTTGTGTTTCATAAGTTAAATTTGGCACTTTCTAAAAATTAACTAATCACAGTTTGTGTTATATATCTTAAATTTGATACTCTTAAAAAAAATTTAATGTTTTTTGCTATCCAGTACTATACAAGATAAATATATAACTAGTCACATATACAACTTTTAGTTGTTTATTTTAAGTAGTCTGTTCATATAGCAAGTTTTACACTAGTTGCCATATCTGCAATCTACTAAAAAATTACCTAGTTAAACACTCTAATCCTTATACTTATACTGAAAAATAGTACAAAGTTCCTGTATATCTAAGTGCCATCTAATCTAACTGTAACCTTCTTGTCTGTATATTCAACAAGCTGTTATATATTTCAGAGTATGTTACCTGACTGTAAAGGTCTAAGAGGCCCTTTTGCTAACTAACTACCTACATTTAGTCTTTTGTTAACAGGACTTACCCTTGCAAAATTCACCCAGACCTCAGCACCAACTTTATAATATATCTCTAGTACTTATAGTATATTCTTGCTTCTGACTTTAAACTTCCAATTCAAATAGTTCAATAGGACTATAACATGTCTCTGGTATCTCAGAATCTGTCTCTTAAGGTTCTTTTTCTTCAGTTTGAGACTTTCAATGACCTGGTTGGTAGTATCTCTCATCTAAGATTCTTGTCTGCCTGATTTCTTTCACATTAGTATCTGTTTTTCTAAGTTTAGCTTTTACAGTAGTACTATTAAAAATCTGTACTACTACTCTAATTAAATCTTTCTAAGTAGGCTCTGGTTTCTCAGTTTACAGATTTACATAGCTACAACAACTTATCTTGGGTTTGCTCACCTGATACTAGTTTGCATTCTTTCATATAACCCCAACAATGTGCAGATACCTCATGACCTGCTAGTTATCTGATGCATCTATATTACAGATAATGATTCAAATTAATTGACAGAATGCTGTTGCTGTAATACTGTTTACCTCCTGTAATACTGATATAACATAGATGGTTTTTTAAATTTTCACTATTGATAGGTTTTGAACTTCCATTTTACTAAGTTACTACACCTCTTATTTTCAAATTTTAAAACATCTATTATATAATACTTATAATAAAATTTTTATCATAACTTTGATTAAAAATATCTTAGCAACTATTTGATCAAATTTAATAAAAATTTTTTATTTGAATTCTATAAATCTGTAGTATTCAAATAAAAAAACTTTCATCAAATTTGATTAAGTGGTTACTAAGATATTTTTGATCAAAGTTTTTCTAAATTTTAAAATATCTATTACAAAAAACTGTATCAAATTTTTATTACAATTTTAATCAAAGATATCTTGACAATAACTTGATCAAATTTGATAAAAATTTTTTATTTAAATTTTACAGATCAGTAGAATTTAAATAAAAAAAATTCATTAAATTTGATCAAGTTGTTACTGAGATATCTTCAATCAAAATTATTTTTTCAAATTTTAAAATGTTTATCACATAACACTTGTATTAAAATTTTTAATGAAATTTTGATCAAAGATATCTTAGCAACTATTTGATCAAATTTGATAAATTTTTTTTATTT